TCTCACAATCATTTCAGTTGTCCCTTCCCCCATCTCCCTTATCCCAATTGAGCCAAATAGAGCCCAGTTTTAGTAACTATCTGATTTTTAGTTTACAAGCACAAAAGCCGATGAAAAAGTGCTGCATGCTTACAGTTTCTGCTCTGCCCGTGAAAAATGCGGTAGATCGTTCCCCCATGCATGAAGTAATATTGCCCATCGGCCAATCGTCATATTCCGGATTCGGGCAAAATATTGCGTGTGACAAGGTGTCATCACTGGATGCACTTATAGCATACACTAAACGAGACAACATAACTGCGACAAATGAAGCCCAAACGCATGAATAAGCACTTCATGAGAACAGTTGGAAGCACTCTTTTGGTCAAGTGCGTCATTTTTGCCACGGATTACAATTCGCGACGATGACGCAACGTCTGGCCAAGATTTCGAAGTACCATTAATCCTTAGAGAATGACTTTTATCAAAGATATCACAGATCGGAGGCTTTTAAAGAATGTGCTGCACAGAGTGCAGCAACGAATTCGTATAAGACGTGAATGGGCACCATACGTATAGGTTATGGGTGTTTCACCGTGTTTCTCTAAGGCATGGTCCGATGGTGCTGCAGACCAGTTGCGTCTGGATATGAACACTAGTGGTTTGATTCCTCCCTGGTCCATCTATTTGCAGAAGAGCGCTCCAGTCTCAGAAAAAAATGAGTGCATGTAGAAAACAAGTGTTTGCAAGTCGCGTAAGGTAAACGATCAAAGGCAACGGGAAGGAAGAACGGCATTTTGCACAATTTTGCTGTTTTGAGCGACATTTTGAACGGTATTTTGACATTTTGTTGAACGGCATTTTGATAGCCTTAATTTTTGCTGGTAGTAAGTCGCCTAACAGTGCATGTTAGTCGTAGAAAGAATAATGATCAATAGAACTTTTTTCAAGAAGATTGGGCGCATACGGCTACAACTTTTGAAAGTTGTCCGTCCTGCTCTTTTTCTTCTGCTTGGCTCAATGCCTAACTTGTCTTCATCTGTACTGTTTGCTCCAGTTAAAATACAGCTGTTTTCGAGCGCGGCGGACTAATCTGCAGCTTCACGCTGAACTGGGGGTAATACATATTCCTCACCATATTTTTTTGCGAAACTGATGACAACAATGATAAAACAGTAATAATAATAAAGAATTAATAGATAAATAGCAATCAAAAATTGAAATTTTTCTTGGAAATTCTTTGCCCATGATAGGCGGGGGCACTAGAGAATTTAGACAAGTGACTGCAAGTGTCAGAGCAACTACCCCAGGCAATTCTGACGACGGCTACGTCTTCCGAGGGTCACTAACAAGCAAGCTGGTGGCGGTTTTGACTCCATTTCATCGAAACGAATAAGCGAATCGCGGAACTGGTTGTCTTATTAGCAAAGCCAAATCCTCGATCTACTAAACAAGAGCGGTACGGGCAAATAATGTTGCGAAAAACCTCAACTTTACCAAGTATGCTAAGAGCAGCATTCTTGCTTAGACTAGTTTTCGCTTTCAGTAAGATTTTTTGACGACTTATAATTGACAGCTAGCGGGAGGTACGCAGTCCAGCATCAAAGGGTCTGACATGGCTGTACGCCGTTTTTAGGAGTTTCCTAGTAGGCTACTAAGATAGGATGCCATACCGATTGCTCAGTCGGTTTCTGATATATTTGATAATTGGCAGTAAATCTGGTCGGCTGTTTTAACAACTAACCGTTTTTTACATTATCGGTGTCTAGCCACGTAAGCATGGATTCGCCATGGCACGACGCTATGTAAATAAATAACTTCTTAAACATCTTTTTTGCAATCATCCCTTTGACAATTTCTTGCAAATCCGGCTGGTACAGCTGAAATTTATGCCACTCCTCAATGTTTGCTCGATCTCTGTTTTGCAAACTGACAGCTTTATTTGATAGTTTAGCTTTAAGCTGATGGAATGAACGATTCACGAACTAAAAAAGTAAGGTTTTTGCTGAAATGCAAAATTTAAACCACAAATAATTCTGTTTCAAAAAGCGGTGAGCTTGCTTTTTCCCCAAGAAACAAACCGGGCATCAGGGAAATTTCTACATCTCTTCAGACTCTCCATTTCTGGAAAATCGCATATCTAAACTGCACTCGTTCCAGTCGCTAATGCGATTTCGGTAGATAAGATTTCGGCTACCAGACAAGCTATGAATTTGAAATTTCGCAAGAGTATTTTATTTCCATCTGTGCTCTAAATTCTGCTCGGAATTAAATTCTCTGTACTGTACGTGACAAATACGCAATTCTATTTCAGCCTTGATAGAAACGAGTAAATTTTGTTTGGATTTTCTCATCCTTCTCTCTCTTGACATACTTTCATGGTCAGTGAATGACCAGTGACAGTAAATTTCTTGTTTTCCTCCATGTTAATCATACATGCTAAATATTGAGATCCCATATGATGCGATCTCATAAGCCAACAGTATCTTCCCAGCCAACACGCTTCTCGCTGCATTCAGGGAAAGCCAAAACATTACGAGCATGAGTCCACGCGTTAAACTGTAGAGCAGCAACCATTCATACTGTAGGCGTATTGAATGCTTCCAGTTTAGCACAAAAACGCGTAGTTGCACTCGCAAGTCTGGTACTTCGCTATCCGGGCAACAGACACTCATATGTTTACAGTAAATGACACATATGGCGCGCAATGCTAGAACATTCCAACAACGTCCCTAGCATGAGACATACATACTGATAGCCCGATCAACTTCGATATTCTTGCTCTGATTTGTTCTTCTCTCTACCAGCATTATTTTTGTACGTGTGTTTCTTTTCGTTTAATCACTTTTAGATATCTGTACTTTCAAAGAAATACATTTACGGCGGTGAAATGCTCATTGTGAGTGATAACTTTTGCAGAGCTGGGCAGGTAACTGTGTTAGTGCATAAATTATTTATAAACGTACGTATGCTGGATCTGGTTCACCATCAAAATACTGGTCGTCCGGATAGTAGCTGCCAAATCTGATCACTGCTTTACCTCCCAATCCACTATAGTAAAACGTAACATAATCGTTTTCGGTAGTATGCAGAACTTCTGTTTTGAATGTTGGATCACCAAGAAGTACGCCTTTGATATTCTCTGGTGTCACCTTCTGCTTCATGTACTTGTTGTTAAATTTATCATAGACTTCTGGGCCGTTCGGTCTGGCATAAACCTTGTAATTGACATACATCATTCTGCAAATGCATTAATGTGATTGCGTTTTGAAAATAAAAAATAAATAAATAGCAGCGCTCACCAGGGTAGCCGACACGATCATGCATTTTGCGCAGTTTCGACCAGGGACGTTTGCCTCTAAGGATTTTAACTGTTTTACATTTTAGTCTGGGAAAAAATACCCGATGTGCTGTTTGGCCCCCAAGCTGCGAAATTTCCCACTAAAAATTTCACGCACCAGTACGTGAGATACAAGCGTGCATGAAAGCTGAATTTGAAACCTTGAGCGATTAACAATGTTCCAAAATTTCAACTTTCTAGTTCTCTGATTTCCGAGTAACTTTGGCGCCAAAACCCTGTGCGGCCTTATGTGAAACATTGTCATAATTGGGAACTAATTTTGAGCTTTTCAGGCCCATTTTAGGCCCCCCCTCCTGAAGTTTTCAGCCTTCTGACTATTCTCGCCCCAGAGATAATAACTTTTTTGCGAAAAATCTCACAAGACCGTGTATGGGATCCAGGTTTTTGTGAGAGCTCGAATTTGCAAGGTTATATGTGGGCAGGAGACATTACCGTAGAGTTTCAACCCCCAACTTTCGTGGCTCCCGAGATAGTAATTCTTCCCGCCATAGCTTGCACGGGATCGCACGAGGTATCGGCAGGTATATGAAGATTGAATTTTGGTTTACTGGGCCGTAAGCGGGGTGGAACAATCTCCCAAAATTTTAGTTTCCCAGCTTTCTTAGTTTCCGAGACAATAATTTTTCTTCGCCAAAGCTTTTGCTGGGCCATTCGTGGTACTCGGGTGTAGGCGAAGGCCGAATTCAAATTTTTGGAGTCGTGGGCAGGTGGGGAACACTCTACTAAAGTTACAGCCTCACAGCTTTCATGTTTCCGAAGATAATAATCTTCCCGCCAAAACTTTGTGGAGTCACACGTGGTATCCGGAGGTAATGGACCTGAATTTAAGTTCACACGGGTCGTGCGTAATCGAGAAATCTCCGAAACCAGTTCCTACCTAGCGCGTGGATCATAGTGAACTTGCTCATTTTTATGCGTTTTTGCCGTGCAGCGCTAGAGCGCTGCAACAGGCAGCAAAAACGCATA